TGATATATGAAAATTGAAATTTCATCCTATTATATATTTTAATATAATTAGTTTCTAAATTTAAATATTAACATTTAATAAGATAATTTTTTAAATTTTGAATTAACTTTTAATTAAATTGAACGATATAGTTTAAGGTTAAAATTCTAATTATCTTTTAAAGTTGAGATTGATATACACTTTTTTTATATATTATAAGTTATATTATTTAAAATATTAAAAGATAAATAATATATTATTTAATAATTAATTTTGATGAACCAAACTATTATTTGTGTTGGGTTTTCTATTTATCTTCAATAATAAAATTATGAATTATAATCACTGTTGTAATAATTTTAATAACTTCATGTAAAGAAAGTAATAAAAAATTAATAATATGACTATTATAAATTATTATAGTATTATTCCACATCCAATCATGAAATGAAGAACTGTAAATGAATATTTACCATAGCAACTAAAGATAATCTAATATGATCTATTTTTATTAAATAGGGTATGCATTTATAATTAATAATTATTATATACAATTATTGATGGAGGATAACGAAAATGGAGGGTAATGGAAATGAAGAGCTAAAGTGGTTATAGTATTATTCCACGTCCAATCATGAAATGAAAAACTACAAATGAGTAAATAATACTAAACAAATTAGAGACGGAAAAGAAAATAATAGATTTTAGATCCTGGGCGTATATCTATGTATCTCTATCTATCTATCTATATATATAATATATAAATGCCAGTCATGGATTAATTAAGATCTGAATATAAATATATTTTTTACTAAGGGAGAAGTTAAAAGGGCATATTTAATCTTATACCCTCACTCTAACTAAATACCCTCACTCTAACTAAATATTCTCTTTAATTAAGAGAAAAAAAAACTAAAATTTCATTTATTTCATTCTTTTTAAAATTTAGACAGCCTCAATTCTCATTGCATTTCTTGGATTGATTGTTCAAAATCATCCACAAGAATTGAAATGAATTGAAACTAGCCATTTGTGAAAATAAAAGTTGAAAATAGTTATGATTAGAAATTGTTTTCCATTTGGGACAATTCTGATTAATAATTTACCACTTCTATGTATATCATTTTAGCTTCTAATTTCCAAAATCTTTTCTACTCATTAATTTTTTCTATGATATTTGTCATGTTATTTTGTTTGTTAGATTAGATTACTAATTTTTACTTTTATTTTGATATATATGTTTTAACTACTTTTATTTTGCTACAAGATTATATAGGTATCCAACATATGCTATTGAAGACTCTAATTTTATTGGAGCTTATCTAAGGTATGTGAGTCTTTCTTTAATTATATAAATATGAATTAGTTTTTGTAAATTGTATATTTAAAATGATATTTTTAATTTCATTGTCAAATTTATAGTTTAATATTGTTTCATTTTAAAATTTTAATTTCTTACTTGCATTTGTGGCTAAGTTTTATTTAATATATTTATCAAAAAAAGTATTTTTATGGTTGAACTACAAGAAAAGT